TGAAATGGCAGAGGGATGTTAAATGACTGGGACAACCTCACTGAACAATGAGACTTGAACTTATTCCAAGGGTGGTGAGGGAGTTATGCAAAAGGACACATGGCCAGGTATGGTTAGCACAGGCCAGTAACTCCAGCTATTCAGGAAGCAGGAAGATCACAAGTTCAAATGCGGCCTGGGCAACTTGATGAGACTTTGTCTCACAATTTAAAAAGGAAAAAAAGATACACGGAGAACACTCCAGCCAGAGGGTGTCTGGCATGTTCAAAGAACAGTGCAAGAAGTCAGTGTGGCAGGTATGAGCAAGGGAGACTCTGAGGAGGGCAGGCATATCCCACAGGACCTTGGAATCATTGGTAAAGAGACAGCTTTTACCTACAGGAAACAAACAGTCACTGCAGCTTCTGCTCAGAACAGAGATATGCTCAATTTTAAATTACATCTCAGCCTAACGGCTGCTGGTGAGAACAGACTGTAGGGGCAAGGTTGGAACAGGGAAGTTCAGGGAGGCTGGCAGAACCGACAGCTGCCTACAGCAAAAAAGATTTTGAGAAATGGTTGGATTGTGGATGCATTTTGAAGGTAAGAGAACCATACTTTTCTAGCACACTGGATCTAGGTGAGAGAGAAATTGAGTTGCCAATGACGGCAGGCAAACTCAATCATTGTGAAGCAAAACCCCAAAATGACACCATGGTATAGCTGATCCAATAATCCTGATTTATTTGGTCTTGTCACATTTTAAAATCTCCTTAGTCCATTATTCCATTTCTCTTCCCCATCTAATCATGAAAAGTCTAGACTGAACAACTGTGGCAGAGAGATGAAATTTCTTCTTTAAGAAACTTTGGAAATGACTGCAATGATCAGAGATACCCTGTTTCAGAAAGCAAATCAGTGTGTGATGGCTGCTCAGGCAACAATGACCATTTACTGGGTGTGAGACTTTAAAAACTCGTCATTTCTCCTGTCTCATTTTCTGCCTAAAAAAAAGTAGGTAGGTATTATTATCAATAGAATTATTGTGAATTCTAAATAATGAACAGAAACCAGCTATTTAAAGCAGCATCCAGCACAGAGTAAGACAATATTCAAGGGTTGCAATTACTACTGTCACTGTTGTTAAGTGGTCTTTCTCAATCTCTGAACGATTTCATGAGAAATAAAACCTGGAGAGCAAATGAGTCAAATATAAATTTTCAAAGCATAAATAAGCTAAGGGATACTCAAGCCCTGTATTTAAAATGGCCCAGTATCTGCAAATATCATCGCATATACTTTATATCATCTCTAGATTACTTATAGTACCAAATGCAAAGTAAACGGTATGTAAATAGATGTTCAGGGAATAATCACAAGGAAAACGCTTACACATGGTTCAGTACAGATGCAAATATTTTCCTTTGAATGTTTTTATCTACAGTTACATAAATTCATAGCAATGGCCCCCAAGGATGAGAGCCAACTATAACTAGGAAATTCAAATATACAAAAATAGATGGATAAGTTGTCATGATGTTGATCTAAAATGCCCCCCAAAACTTTCATGTGTGTGAAAGTTGACTGAATCCAGTGGTGCTATAAGCAGTAGATTCATCCATGTACTGTCAGGAGGTGGGGCCTGGATGGGAGGCACCTCACAGGGGTACAGCTTAAAAGGGTGCATTCTCCTCCAGGACCCTCCTTTCTCTCTCCTTCCTGGCTGTCATGGGTTGAGTACCTTTTCCCCTACCATCCTGAAGGCCCTAGACCCTTCAGACCACGGAATGAAATCATAAGTCAAATAAACCTCTCCTTTCAGTTGTAGGCACCAGGTAATGGGTCCCATGACAGGAAAGTGACTAAGACAGGTATATATAAATACATATACAGTGTTTGTATACATACATACAGACACACACACACACACACACACACACACAATCGGAGTCTGTTTTCTTCTTCCAGCCTCCGATATGACATGAATTTCTACCAGCATATCTCTCATAGGAAATGGCATTTTCAAGCAGTGTTTTTAAAGAAAAACATTTTTGATCTGTTGTTAGATGAATTCATGAATGCAGAGCCAAGTAAGGAGATACAGAGGCCAGACAATTCTGAAATTCAGACAGACATAGGGGTAACAAGTATACTTTTGAGGGGGTACCAGGGATCAAACCTGGGACTTTGCACTTGCAAGGAAGGCAGCAGAACCACTGAGCTAAACCCCCAGCCCCTATATATGTATTTTTAACTTAAATCTATTCTCTCAGCCTCTGATATCACATAAATGTCTACCAAAATATTACTAAAGAGCAGGTAACACTTCCACCTAGTGATTCTCAAGCCCCACTGCATATGAGAATTTCTTGGAGAGCTTTAAACAAACATATTAATACTAATGCCCTGCCTTTTACTTCTGGTCTACTTGAAATCAATGCTGAGAACTGCTGATCAAATGAATCCTATAAACGTTATTTACTGAATTTGGGAGACAGGTAATTGCTTAAATTGTAACTCAACAGCTTCTAGATTTAAACTAGCATCATCCTAAGAACTGGGTTCTGGGGTGAGATGATGCTATAGCCTAGAAGAGAAAACCTCTTAACTTGCTCTATACCAGTGGTGGCAAACCTATGGCACACGTACCACAGTGGGCTGTATCACTGAAAGCTCTACAAGGTTGGCCATTACTGCTCTGCATGCTCAAAGCACGATCCTAACTAAATCTGCAAAACAGAAGATAGTGATCTTCCAAATGTTCTCTCAAAAAATGTGTGATGACTGACAGCAGATTTGTTTTAAATGAAAGTGCACACCATACTATTCCATTGTCCCTGGCAAAATCCTAAGCCCTAGTGCCAAACACCTGATTACAATGACTTTGCCTGTTTCCTTACTAATTAGTAGCATGCAGCTTTGTTCTTAGAAATATGAATCTTTCATTTTTTCTTAAAAAAAAATCTATCCTGTAAAATATCAAGCCTCCACCAAATATTAGTTCACAGCATGCAGAAAAAAAAAGGTTTTTGTTTTGTTTTGTTTGCCTGCTAGCATTGCAGGGAACTAACAGCTTTCTATAATAAATTCACTCCTTCCTTTAAAATATAATATTATTAAGTCTTTATTAAATACTAGACATTTCTTTCAAGGTGCTTGTGGCTATAGCAGGTCTGGTCTTAATATCCTGCTAAGTATAGCTGTAGTTCAGACATCTAAAGAGTAGGCTAAGATAATGAACGCCTAAAATAACACTAGAAAAATTATACGGGACCATAATTTACTAAGCACCCATTACAAGCTGTAAGCTGTATCATTAGTTTCTGTCTATATGGTACTCATTTAATAAACTCACTAAAAAGATGACGTTATCATTTAGAAGAAATTAATGAAAGTCAAACAATGGAAGCTTTCCTTTAGTAATTTAAATACAGTTTTCCATACTACAGGGAATGCTCCATCCTAAAGTCAATAGAAATGAACAAAGATTGTTATCAATTCATTCACACAAGCAAATTTTTCTGATCAGTTTAACAAGATGAACTGTGAAAGGACTTAGGGTTTTAAAAAAAATCAAGACATAGATAAATTTCCAATTTCAAATCTTTTTTATGTTGAAAATTATGTAATCTATCTTAAAGCCTGATTCTACAAACTACCGCTTTGTAGACAGTCTTAGGCCAGAGCTTATTGGTAAAACCATTCTAAGAAAGATACTGCAAAACCAGTAAAACATTACTAGGTGCAGTAATGAGACCTTTAGTTTTTAAAGCATAAACTTTAAACCAAACCAAAAGCTATCCAGATGAATCTTAAATTCATAGAACTGAAATTGAAGTCCATGCAAAAACGACTTGACCCAAGACTGGAAATATAATTAAAAGTATTATCTGGAGAAGATAAGCGGCTCCAACCCTGCTACCATCCCCTAAAATAAACAGAAACACAGGTATGCACACGTGTGCATGTGTGTATATGCGTGTAGATACAGGCGCGCGCGCGCGCACACACAGATACACACACACACACACACACACACACACACACACACACACATCCCACTGATATCCTGCGGCT